ACTCTAACGTCAAATTTAGTAGGGTCACTCATGTAGCCGACCAATACAATGACAGAAGGTCGTGTGACATATTAATTAGAGTGGCAGGCAATTGAGCTAATATGCCACAGTGACCGAGCAAAATAAAGAAATTATCTTTGCGTGCAGGATGTTAGGATATTTCAAAGCCAGGAAGCACAGCTTGCGTTCCAACACGCAGAACACTACGAGAAGCAAGATGCTAGTATCTAGGAAAACTAAATGCGTATCGTAACCCACGAACAACACTAGCGTCGCCTAAAACCCGTGTGTTGGTACCAGTGGCACCACCGAGGTGAGCGTTGCAACATCTGTGCAAAATGACTTGCAAGTCAAAGCTAAAGCACTAAGTTTTAGTGCGTGCGTGCGCGAGCACACACGTTTTCCCTGATGCTGAAAATATTTTAGTCGTGTGTACCCCCTCAATCTGCCCAACGGCTACCCCTGAAAAAAGACTCTTTCTTGTGGGCTTAAAGTGCTGTGGTTTGTCCAGGCGCCCCGCGGTGACGTCACGGTCGGGCTGCCAGATAACTAGTGTGGGCTTAAAGTGCTGTGGTTTGTCCAGGCGCCCCGCGGTGACGTCACGGTCGGGCTGCCAGATATACTTTGAAGGGCTCCGCCCCTCTTTTGCAACTGTATGCTCTGGACCTAACTGTTCCCGATTTAATATTATGAGATAGATATGGTGCCGCCTATTTCCAGTCCATTCATATTTGCATGACGTCATGGAAACGTTGCGCAAATATTCCATCTTGTTGTCTGTATTGTACTCATGATTAAGGACAATGCGGCCACGGAAACATTTGCGTTTGTGCTGATTCAGCTCTTAAAGCTCAAAGCAAATGTCCCAACCAAGATCACGAACTACGTTTTGTAATAACTGACACAGGCATTCTGGCAATTGCTCTTGATGATGGACATGAAGCTAAAAATTGAATAACTTAACAAAGCGTTGTAACCGAAAGTGTAAATGCAAGTACAAGACATCCTGGCACGGAAAAATATAAGCATGGTTCAGAACACCGCAATAAAACACCAAAACATACGCAACTAACACACACAATATGAATTCATACGCACCGATCACCGACGTCACCTTGCGGGGCGTAGAAGTACCACAAGTGGGTCATGCTGTCCACTGCGGCGGCAACTCTGACACAACCAGTCTAGCGGCAGCTCTGATGTTATAGAACGTTCCATGACATAATCAAACAGTGGTGTATTGGACACATTTACTTAGGCATCTATTTACTATTGAGGTATTGATACATTTTTGGCACTTCAAAACGAACGAATACCTATAAGGGAGCTTTTTCCATCATATGTGATCCTTGCATCAAATCTTCAAATGTTCGTCTGTCTCTTTAATGTTGTGCTCTATCTCTGAACAGTGTTTCTGATATTCGTCAAATCCTTTTCCGTGGTTCAAGTTCTGGGCAGCACATTGAGAAATGCGCTTCAACCGCCCTGATGTTTTGTGTGTACTACCTAAATTAATACGGCTTCACGGTTGCGAGTCAGTTTGACACAATTCCCGACTTATATTCCCAAATAACTTCCGAACGGTACGGTGTAGCCGCGCTGAACTTCTCAAAGCTATAAATAACGAAATAGCCGTCCCTTGGTATTAAAGGTTAGACTCATCGTCATAAGGTCGCTGATCCATGACAGGTCAAAGTCCTAGTTGTAAGCCAATGGGGTTCTTTGAGAATTGTTAAATTTGATGAAACAACTGAGAGTTACACGAAACCATACACATTGCAGACGGTTTCTTCGACATGAAAGCAATCTAATTTAAGATTAAGACTACATAATTTGATTGTACTTGAGTCGGTTACAAAGGTCAAGTCGAGGTCTTTCTTATACTGGTACCCTGCTATTACCCTGCTATTTAAGGAGGCTTTCAATGCTCATTTCGAATTTACTGGTCACAGGGAGGTCAACAAATGTGTGATTTGGACTTCATAAAGGTGCGAAGCGATTACTGACCTATAATGACGCTAATCAACTTCTCGTTGTTTATTGGCATACCGCCTAGTGTGATCCTTGATGCTCATCGAAACTTAATAGTCAAACCAAACTCCCAGGTTTGCCGTCATAGTGACCTTCTGAAGATTAAATAGATCACTGATCTGAAATGCACCTCAGCTACCATTTATTTAGTATATGTATGTATGTTGAAACTTCAGACACCGATCTGGACTTTGACCTTGTTTGACCACATTTGGCACAAAGGTCATCACCTAACGACCTCCAAGTTTGACGCAAGTGAGTTAACATATAGGCTATTTATCCTGTAAATGCAAGGTGTCCAACTTGCTCGATTTTGAGATCTGAGGGAGTAGAATGCCCGGAGCATATTAAATCGCGTTCAGAACAAATCATGAAGCTCATCGCGATTGCACCAGAAAACCTGGCTTGATTAACTTACCAACCCATGTCTCTGCCGTCAAGTTTAGCCAGTTGTGAGCATGTCATAACACAGGACGTTGCAACGCCAAGATATTTGTACCAGCACATAATGTCGTTGAAATCATGTTCTGCGGCAAAACTCCCAGTAATCCTCGCCATTGCGAAGCGTAACACTAAAGGTTCGGGTGATGTGCCACAATTTCCCGTACAATTTTACCGTAACCCCATGTCCCAGCGTAATTGTCAGGGAAAAGTACTGGAGTGCACTGTATTTACGCTATAGTGCTATAGTATCGTGCGTGTCATGTGCAGTGCTTTGGTGGTACGTCATACGCCCGTGTTCGACCGTTGATGTGCCATAACACTTTGTTGTAGCTTCACACCAACGCTTGGTGTGAAATTACTCCTGTAAAACGACTCAAAACATTTGAGTGTTTGTGTTCCGAGCGATTGGTGCCCGCACCAAGTACCGGTGTAATGTTGTCTTTAACGCAGGGGATCAATCTCCGCCGTCCCTGGGCAATTTGCCGCTCCTTGGCACCGCACACAACGAAGCCGATTTATACAACAAACATTGCGCAGTCGCCATCGCTTGAACCTTTGACAGCAAAGGCTATCCGGCGCAGAAAGCTTTGCAAAATAATTTTAAAAGCCCATAGCTATGAATACGCCACTGTTCAGCCGCTGAGTTTGTTGTTTCTCCGCGGAAGAGCGAAACGCCAACTTTTGCCTGCAGATGCCGACTGCGAATCGTTTAAGTCGCTAGTTTGCACGAGTTGGCGCCGTTTTGTTCGTGGCGTCGCCGCGCGCCGCTAGCCTTCTCGGGATACAGGCTTCACCAGTCTGATGTGGCCGGCAAAACACTTCAGTACGAGGGTGTTTGTCTTTAATCATGGCGGATGCTCCAGCGCCTTGGCGCCCCGCCCCCTCCCCCTCTCCTTCCCCACAGCTGAGACTGTCGAAGGTAATCGGGCCGCGACCTCGACGACAGATCTAGGCGCCAAATCGACCTGCCGGAATTGTGCTCTCCTCACCTCATCTTTGTAATTGTTATATGCTGAGCACAGATAATGGTCGATGAGCCTCAGTCATTTTTAAGACATCCCAAAAAATTCGCTCCGATTCACGTCAAGTTTTGTTTTACTACCGGTAGGAGGTGCCCCAATTCTGTACACTGTGCTCTGCCCGAAGAGTGCAATACATTTTTCGCTATGTTATCCAGCGACACGTCTTCTTAATGCTATCATCTGTTCATGTCTTGCCATTGATATGCATTTCTCACTATTGACTTGTCTGATCACGTTGTCTGAAGCTCTTGTCTCCATATTTTATCTGGTGCCAACCCATCGTCGGCTCACTGTTAAGCCGCGATGCATGCATGAATAACTTTTTCCAGCACCGCGCGACGCCCTATGGATGGACGTGACTGCAAAATCTGGTTTTTATTCGAATTACCGCTGGCGCCCGGGGAAGTTCGTGGGAGGGGGAGGGGACGTCCGCCGGGGGCGACAGAGATTTGTGAGCGCTGGGCGCTCGGCGACACCGGGGAGCGAGGCTGAGAGGTGGCAGCTGAGGGCAGCCGCGCTCCCTGAGAAGCAGACACGTACGAGCGGTCTGAACACCGAGGAACTGAGCCTGAGAGGCGGCGGCTGAGGACAGCCGCGCTCCCTGAGAAGCGGACTCGTGAGGGCGGTCCGAATGTACGTATCGCCCAGAAACCCGGCTGGGGAAGCAACGCCAGGATATGAGGCAGGACAGTGGCGGAGTGATGTAAAGGATTCAAAGGACAGATAGAGGTTACATCCTTATCTTTACGCTTTGCATGGTTTAGATTTTAACAGCAATATTCTTATCTAGTCGCTGAAAGTAGATAAATATTTAGGGTGCCATGTTATGGAGAGTAGTATGGAGAATAATAATAACAAGCGGAATAACAGCGCTGTGTCGCGGTCACTTTGTTGCTATGGTCGTCCCGTTAACCTCTGCATAACACACACACACACACACACACACACACACACACACACACACACACACACACACACACACACACACACACACACACACACACACGCACGCACACTCGCGTGTCGGAGCCCTCCATGTGCACGTGATGATGTAATGCGAGCATGTCGTGTGCATGAGTGGAAGCCTGATGTACTGACCGAGGGATTGGATTCCCCAGTGACGCACTCACCGCCATTAGCGTGGGTACCAGCACAGCCGAGGTCACGGGTTGACCTTGACCTCCAAACCTCTGGTGCTCCATTTCGTCATCGTCCGGTCGTTTTGTGATGGAACTTTGTGCCGGTTAAGCATGACGTGACGTCCAGTCCGCAGGCACCAGTCAGGAGGCTGCTTCTGCGCCCTCGGGGCATTTGACGCGCCACGGCCAGGCGTGTTCTCAACATGTTCTGTCACGGTTTCACGTTGTATCTTACTTGCATTTGACTTTGTCAGTCCTTGAATTGTGCAATTATTTTGTATGAACGCATACAAGACCCGCTGGCAAGCTCAAGAAAGCTTCAGCACCGTTGACACCGTGTGACCTGGCGTGACCCCTGCGGCAGGCTTCAGTGACCCGTACTGCATGCTGGGCATCATCCCTGGCAGCGCCGCGGCGCCAGGCAACTAGTGAGCGCTGCACTCCGCCCGGGTCACCTCGGGTCAGCCGCTCCAGCCTGCCCGAGGAGGAGGCCGACGAGCGCCAGCTGAACACGCACGCCGACAAGCTGCGCAAGCATCACAGGTCAGCTGATCACACACACACACACACACACACACACACACACACACACACACACACACACACACACACACACACACACACACACACACACACACACACACACACACACACACACACACACACACACACACACACACACACACACACACACACACACACACACACACACCACACACACACACACACACACACACACACACACACACACACACACACACACACACACACACAACCACACCACACCACACACACACACACACACACACACACACACACACACCACACACACACACACACACACACACACCACACACACACACACACGCACACGCACACGCACACGCACACACACACACACACACACACACACACACACACACACACACACACACACACACACACACACACACACACGCACACACGTGCGCGCGAGCACGTGCTGCACAAACGCCGTAGGTCAGGGGCGCGTAAACGCGTCGGAAAATACCACAGATCAGCTTGAGCTCCATGGTGGTGAACACACGTGACCACACACACAAGCACACGTGGTGAGCTCCACAAGCACCATCGCTCAGCCAAGCAACACCGCTCAGCCAGGCACCACCGTTCAGCCAACCACCACCGCTCAGCCAAGCGCTACTGCTCAGCCAAGCGAGTTGCGGGAACATAAACTACGCAAACACACAGGTTAGCTCAGTACTCACGCCTGTAAAGGCCAGACGTCACCCGAACCACCGTGCAAACTCCAAAGTTCAGCCTAACCGTTGTGCAAACCCCAGAGGTCAGTCTATCCGCCGTGCAAACCCCGGAGGTCAGCCTAACCGCCATGTAAGCACCAGAGGTCAGCGATACCGCCACGGAAGCACCAGAGGTCAGCGATACCGCCACGGAAGCACCAGAGGTCAGCCAAACCGCCGTGCAAGCAGTACAGGCCAGATCAACATACGCTGCGCGAACACCCCGGATCATATCAACATGGACTGCATCAGCACCACGGGTCGTTTGAGCGCAAACTGCTCCAAGGCTGTGGTCTGGTGAACAAACACGCCGACGAACTGCGCAAATAACGCATATCAATTAAACGCAAATGAGCGAACGTCACAGACCAGCTGAACACAAATACACAAACGGCGCAAGTGAGCTGAACATACACGCAGGCAAACGGCACACCCAGCACAGATCAACGAGACTGCATGTATCACAAACATGACACAACGGCCGTTGACGGTCGGTGAAGCAACAGTAATCGAAACAAATGGCGGAAATAAGCCAGCGAACAGTGACAAAGTGTGCACACCAGCTGTGGCTGCCGGTGTGCAGTCATGAGATTAACCGGCGCCCAGCACGGGGAGGAGGGAATTGACTTCCCCCTGCAGCTTTAAGAGCACAGGTCAAAACAGAACGCTCGCAGCTTCACGAAATTGTCAGTAGCTGCTCATCTGTCAACTAGGCATCCTTTGTGGAAATTTGGAGCTATGTTTTACCCAGGTCATTGACCTTAATCAGGTTATGAAGGTCAACCTCCCAAACGATTTGCCCACACATAACTTTTTTGTGAGTCATCATCAAACTTGGTATGGTAACAGAATATGATAGTACCTACAGTTTATATAGTTTGGATTTTTCGGAAAATGCGAGACCATTGACCTGAAGTAAGGTAATTGTTGCTATTTTCCTAAATAATGCAAGTTTGCACTATTTTGTGCACTTTTGGTGTTGGATACGATAAAAATATTTCTAACTTGTGTGCATGCACAACCATCATAGAAACACAGAGCACATGACATTGGTCCAGGTCATCACCCCCTTTATGGTTACCTTTTGAAAACACATGCTATGCTCAAAATAGACGAATTTTCGGTGGTTTTGGCCGCAGGGTATTTTGAATATTTCACTTAAAATGTGTGAAGATAAAATCATAATGCATTTTGAGTTCACAACAGGTCATGCAATGTCACATGAGGACATCCAAGTTCAATGGCCTATGTTGCCAGCAGTAGAGAAGCTAGATGAACGAGTGCAATGCGTTTTATCACCTCCTTATCGTGTTTGCAAAGCTGATAACATCTAATTTGATGTACCAACGAACGGGTTCTCAGTTGATACAAATACATTGCCAAGCGTCAAAGGGCTGTGTATTACGTAGACAACAGTTAAGCAATCTTGAATACTTGTAGATGTCCAATACACTATTTCCGACAACAAAAAGTGTTATGTTGGCCACGGAAAGCGGGCTAGCACTTAGCAGTTTTTCAACTGAATAGGCTATGAACTAGACCTAAGCTGATTTCAGATGACCTCTAGGTTGCCATAAAATGATATTGTTGTGTCCGGAATGATTTTCTCTCACAGCTGCACCTGGTAAAATAAACATAGTCAGAAGCACATTGTGAAGAAAAGTATCTATCTTGTAGGTTTCTGGTGGACCAATTTTGACCGGTGGCCTAATCTGACCTGACCCACGTGGGAGAACAGAAATGGTCAAAATGATCTCGGCACAGTCTTTGTGCTTATTTCCGTGTTCCCAATAACTGGCTTGATGTGTTGACATAAGTTTTAACTGCATTCATTGGACCAATCGTTTTTTACCTTTCGTGGTCTCTGGTGACCTCACGTCTGACCTAAGGTCAAAAACTTTGGGTGCACATGGTTTGGCCAGACCTTTAC